AAGTCGCCCTGACAGCAAGACCAAGTTGCGACAACGAGGTCAACCCACTTCTATAAAACCAGTATAGTTTGCCTTTTCAACAACAAGGTTAATATGCTGACCAAACTCGTCCCATAGTGATTAGTACAAGTGGAAGAAGAGAGTAAAGCTAAGATGCGGCATCTTAGAGCAAATGATAGAAATGATTACGAAAGATTTTGAGATAACAAGCATGGACTTGTAAGGAGTAAACAAAAAGTGCCCTCCGAAGGAAATGAGTCGCTGAAATTATTATGGGCTCCAATACATTCTCATCGCTAATTCAAGTGTAGACCAATGACCATGGTCAATCCGTCAAAAAGTGCCTATCAAAGATTAGCTATTTGGAGGATATAATCCAGCATTCATATGCCAAAATACATCCGTACGTCAGACGAGATTAGCGCCGGTACCCTTGGCCGCATGCTCAAAGAAGGTATCTCAGAGGTTGTCCTAACTGTTTACAAACTGGAACTCTTTCCTAACATTAATAAGGTACACATGGAAATAATGGCTTGATAATATCGGTATTTTAGTATAGCTCAAGACTGTAGATGGCTCAAAAGTGGGAGGGCAGATTTTAGCGCAGGCACCAGCCAACCAGTGTACACAAGGATGCGGCCTCACAACCAACAGCTAGAAGTGAGGGGCCACATGCTCGATCGGGTCGCCAGGATAAGTATGGTTGGCATGGCCTGAACTATGATCCTGGAGACTGGCTTGAAGAAACGCGTTGACAACAGGGACTAATTTGAGAGGCCCCAGATACAAGTATTGTGAATAATCTTGCGAAATTTACAACTGCCATGTTGATTGAAGAAGTTCAATCGCCACCAGTTCAGGCTTTCTTAAACACCTAATCCCATACTTGGACTCCTTCCAACTTCGGCGGATTTAGCCTCAATGATCTCGAGGTTGAAGAGATGTGTAAATCGACTAGTCACTCAGAAGCCAACGAGAAAGCCACCACAATGAAAATGTGCCGGTTAGGCACATGCTATGGACTAGACTTTCATTCCGAAGGAAAATTTGGTTGGAAGAGATTTCTTAATTGACCTCACAAGAAACCAAATGAAGACTGTATTGGTGCTTTTTTTCGAAAATGATCCTTTCTCGCTCATACACTATCTATCATAGAGGGACAAACAAAAACTCAGCATAGGTAGCAGGATAGTGAATCGAGAACTTATTCGCATAAACCAACGTTCATCACTCCAAGGCAATTGTCTCTTGGCTTCCGAGGTGAATTCGCGAAGCTCTTTCAGCCAAATCTTTCTTGAAAATGAGAAGTCAAGTCACATTAAATTGTTCTGGGATTCCTCTAGAGCCAGTTTTTTCATATATGCAAAAATCTTGTGGAATCTGGGGAGTTTCAGAGATAGAAAAATAGGGTTCACATAGTTTTATCCACAAAGTGACAAGACAAAGGGGTTAGGGGTTGATTTAAGTCAGCAAAGACAGACTAATGTATATAAGTTGTGGCGAGGATTGGATTCTAAGGCCAGGTCCTATATTCCCACCTCACAAGCCGAGGAAGTCATAATTCGGCTAGAAAAGTGAGGTTGGGGAAAAAGCTGCCTATTCGAGAGCAATACACTATCTTTATGCAAAGAACCTTATGTGGCATGTGGATTATGGCAGTAACTAGTCCGAAGTGTGGATCAAAATACAAGGTTAGAATATGAATTGAGAATATAATTCCCCCAACCATGGTCGTCTCCATAAGTTCGAAAGGGTCAAAATAGAGGTACCTACTGAGACCGATGTTGAATTGAAGCATAAAAGTATGGTCGAGTCGCAGTCCAGATGGTGGTAGAATGAATATTGAGAAATTGAATATTTTTCATATTCAATAGTTTAAAGGACTGATTTTTGGGCAACTAAATCATTACGAATGGATTTTTTGCCTCATCATTACACGGAATTCAAAGAGCCTACAAGTGTGAGTTCGTTAAAATGAGGATTTGAGCAATCTGTGTTTTGAAGACTCCCCTAATAAATTTACGTTGTTATATCTTTTGTTTAATTTGAAATGACGAGTGGAAAGAATACGTAATTTGACCTCACCGGACGCCTAGAGAGTAGTTATGATGATAGATTCGTGCGAATAACTCCTCGTGACCTAGTTGAGCCTATGCAGACCTTACGTCTGCCCCAACGAGGCAGACATCAACAAAGCGTGAGAGCATGTTTTACGAAAATTCCCGAAGCACTTTCTTCTCACAACGGGACAAAGAAAAGCTCAACACTGATTAATCGGGGTCTTAGGATCCTGCGTCGAGCCCTTAATCATTCAGGTCTAGTCACAACTCCGAGGCGATCCTACTTCGACTTTCGATTAAGCAATTTTTAAGGATGACTCCCAATCGCCATTTTAAACAAAATGAAAGGTGCAACACGTATCTTGCATAATCATTTTGATATGCGAGGGGCCTCGATGGCCAGCTTTTATAACCCCAACAACAGCAGGTCTCTAATCTAAAACTAGCCTGCATGTGCTTGCATAGATAATTTTGGTTTGCAAAATGTAAAATAATGCCACATTTTGCCTGTTCACAGTCTCTTTTAGTTTCAAAAATATAATTTACCTTAT